GACTGCTCCTTCTACTACCACGGCTATACCTGCTACTACTACTATGACGACTACTACTACTGCTACTGCTACTGCTACTACTCGTACTACTATTATTACCTTTACGAATACTACAGCTTTTACTACGACGACTACTACTACTACTACTTGTACCACTACTTCTACTACTACTCTTACGACGATTACTACTACGACTACGACTACGACTACGACTACGACTACTACTACTACTACTACTACTACTATTACTACTACTACTACCAGGACTACTTTCACGACTACAGCCACTACTGCTACTACTGTTACTACTACTACTACTACTACTACTACTACTACTACTACTACTACGAGGACGACGACTACTTACAACAATTACTACTACTACTACTACTACTACTACTACTACTACTACTACTACTACTACTACTACTGTTATTACTACTACTACTACTACTACTACTACTACTACTACTACTACTACTACTACTACTACGACGACTGCTACTACTACTACGACTACTACTCTACGACTACTAGTACTACTACTACTACTACTACTACTAATACTACTACTACTACTACTACTACTACTACTACTACTACTACCACCACTACAACAACAACAACAACTACTACTACTTTTACTATACTACTACTACTACTACTACTACTGCTACTACTACCATTATACCAGAGAAAAGCCCCAATCAGGGCTGTAGGGCTAGGGGGCTATAGGGCTTTTGACCTACAGGGCTATAGATCTATAGGTCTATAGAATTGTAGGGCTATAATGCTATAGGGCTTAGGGCTATAGGGCACCCCCGGACAGCCCCAGGCACGCCCGGGCACCTGGGCACTCCCGGGTACCCCCGGGGTACCCACCGGGCACTCGGGCCCCGGGCAACCCCGGGCACCTGGGCACCCGGGCGTGCAGCGAAAATCGGCGACAAAACTAACCTAACCATATAAATCCGCTAGGGCCCCTAGAGAGGCAAGTTCTGATTGGTGAACTGTTACAATTGCCACTAACACTACGACTACTACTACGACTACGACTACGACTACGACTACGATTACGGCTACTACTACTACTACTACTACTACTACTACTACTGCTACTACTACTACTACTACTACTACTACTACTACTACATGTACTAGTACCAGTACTGCTACTACTTCTACTACTACTACTACTACTACTACTACTACTACTACTACTACTACTACGAATACTACGAATACTACTACGAATGCTACTACTACTACTACTACTACTACTACTACTACTACTACTACTACTACTACTACTACAACGACTACGGCTACGACTACTACTACTACTACTACTAATTCTTCTTCTACTACTAGTACTGCTACTACTACTCGTCGTTGCTGTTGTCGTCATGGCGGAGATTATGTTCCTGCTTTTGCTGGGCAAGCTGGATCATGGTTTGGTGATTCTCCATCCCAGGAAAAATCTATTGTGGGCTACCCTACATGCCAAGGGATTTGTGAGCATCTTCGAATGAAGGTTGCAATTGGAATCCGTGGTTGTGGTTGTAGTCGTGATCGTAGGCGTGGATCTAGTCGTGATTGTAATCGTGATTATACTTGTGATTGTCATCGTAATCGTCGTCGTTGTTGCGTGGCGGGTGCCGTGGAGAAGTTCGCCGGCCCAACGGGCCAGAGGCGTGCTAAGATCTCCGGTAACTGGTAAACAATATTTCTACTTCGCGTGCGCGGGGCGGTCCCTGGGGGTCCCCGGACGAAAAGTACCCCAGGACGGTCCCGTCAGAGATGGTTTTCCGTCTGGGCGCGGCTTTCAGGCGCCCCAGAGCGCTCCAAGAGGGCTTCAAGATGTCCTCAAGATTTCTCCGAGTCGTTTCCCGATCGGTCCAAGACGCCGAAGATGGCCTCCACATGGCCGTGATGCCTCCACGACACCCACAGAGGCCTCCAAGAAGCGTCTCAAGAGGGCCCTAGGAAGCGAAAATCACCGATTTCCCTGTGTTTTTGAAGGATTGTGGTGTTCTCAACTGTGAAACTTCCCGACGCTCCAAGACGGCCCCATAGGCTCCAAATATCGCCCCAAGACAGCCCAAGAGGCCTCCGAGAGGGTCCAGGACGGCCCTCGAGGGCCCCAAGACGGCCCAAGAGGCCTCCAAGAAGGCCAAAGATGGCCCCAGGACGGTCAACAGGGGGGTCCCAGACGCGGAACCCGAACGGGTATTTCCAGCCCTCGGCCCCAAGAAACGCCCAGGAGGCCCCTAGAGCTCCCCAAGAGGCTCCAAGAGGTCCCCAAGAGGCCTCAAGAAGCCCCCAAGATGCCCAAGAAAAGGACCCCAGGGCCCCCAAACGGCCCCCAAAAGACCTCAAGAGGCTCCAAAACTCCCTCCAAGAACCTCCCGAAACGCCTGCCAAGAGACCCCAGCAACGCCGCATTGACATCGATCCCTCGGCCACACGGCAGAGATGAGGCTACATGGGCCACCGGAATGAGAAGCGATTGAATAATCACACCAGAGAATACCCAGTCGGTGGATGGTTGGAAAATTAATGCAATGGATACTGGGGGGATCCAAGATACCGGGGAACCTGAGAAGGCTGGCCGTCCGAAACACCGAAACAATACTTAAACAATACCAAAGGGATCCAGGGACCCTGGGGAACCCTGAGGAACGCGAGGAAGGCTGGCCTTGCAAATATAAGAAGCACGTCCTAACAGACCTGGGGAACCCTGGGATCCCCGAGGGACGCCACTGTAAAGAAACAAAGCGGGGGAACCCTGGGGACCCCATACGAGAAACTAACACCAGGGAACATCGTGATACCCTGGCGCGACTGGGCGCCGCACCCACTGGTCCCCTCACAAACCAATGAAACGACCTAAGGCAGAGCCTCATCGAGGAAACATATGCTTTTGTTGCGTGGCAGGTTCTCACCTTGCAACTTGTGCTGCGCAGTAGCTTGGGTGTTCGACCTTGAGCTCAGGACTCCGCGTGCGACGCGAGTGGTTTGGAGAGGTCCAGGATGAAAGTGAAACCCACAGCGCACTCGACCCCCGACCAGAAGCCAATGTGTTTTGCAGAGCAAGTGGTTTGCGTTGTAGCTGGTTTTCCCGTGCACTTTCTGATGTGCAAGTTACTCTGCGCTGCAACTTGGCTGTTCGACCCTGAGCTTTTGATTCCGCACGTGAGACGGGAGCAGCTTAGACAGGCGCAAAGATGACAATGCACTCGACCCCAGGACTAAACAAAGCAATTCCTTTTGCAATGCATATGCTTTCTGTTCCGCTACAGCCGCTACAGCTCAGCCGTTGGAGCTTACACTCCCGCGTTTGATATTGGGGTGGCTTGGAGAAATCCACTGAGGGTGTGAAGACCATGGCGCCGTCCACCCGACCAGAAAGCAACGTTGGTTGGTTGGTTGATTGGTTGGTTGGTTGGTTGGTTGGTTTGTAAGGTACGCCACTCAACGCAATATAGCATTTGCACGGGCGGAAGAACGCGCAGAAACGAGGCAGAGCACGGCCAACAGGACGGGTAGCGAACCAGATTTAACAACACGGTGAGGAGATGATCAGGACGAGGATCAGAAGGAACAAGTAAAACAAGTAATGGATGGTCGAGACCTCTGGGGGTCCACGTCATGACAAAATCATGACGTCGGGCGACTGGGTATCCGCCCTACTGTGCCGAGGCGGAAGTGCCCGCTCTACGTTTTCGCATCGTTTGGAGTGCATTGCCGACGCAGGTTCGAATCTGAAAAAATGTTCCCCCGAACTGCGGCGGGTCCGGTTCCAGAGGGGGGGGGGCGGGGGCGGGCCAGAAGAAGGCTCGTCCACACTTCGGGGGCGGCCAACAGGGGGGCGTCCAAGAGGGGGGAACGCAAATCATGGCCGGCGCCACGTGCGCGGCCCAGGGGGAAGGGGGCCAGGGACGCAATGAAACAAGCAGAGGCGCCATGAGATCTGAAGAAATAGCATGGCCCACGCGATGAGATCCCCCCCCCCCCCGCAGTCATCACCCCCCCTCTTGGCCGCCCCCGAACACTGCGTGCACGACGCCGTCCAGCCGCATCCCGAGCGGGCCCTGCCAGCCATTAAATTCCGGGTGCGCCACGCGCCCGAAAGGCGTGGGCGCGCTGGCCGTGGCCTTGCGCGGCGCCAGGATCTGCACTGCGCGGTGGGGGAGAGGGGGCTATGGGCTAACCCCCCACCAGTCGGGGAGACGTAAGACTCGGGTACGGGGGACTCGGGTTGGCCTGACGGGGCCATCGTACAGATGACGAGGCCCAATCTGACATTTGACGCGAGCTCCCGCTGCCGACACCCCACGAAAACCGGACCGTCAAAACCCAGGACGCGCTCGTCAGAAGACGTCGGCAAACCCGAGCTCCGCCCTGCTCGAGTCTCACGTGCCCCCGAACCTCTACGGCCGGGAACTTCTACGGAGGCCGTCGCTGCGGCGGCCCCGGCGACAAGCTATGTGCCCCGCGGGCGGACGGCGCGCCGGTGCGCCGCCCCGCGCCGCGGGGCGGCGCACGCTTGGGGCGGGCTCGGCACGTGGACGCCCCGGGGACCGGGAGGCGGATGGCCGGTCGCACCGAAGCGTGTTCGGGCCAGGAGCCCGCGGCGCAACAGGCGAAGCAAAAGTGCCCGACCGCTGGTACCTCCGAGCTCGGAGGGGGCAGAGTGGGTCGGAGGGGGGGGGGCCCTGACACCCTGGCGTCGCAACCTGTGCACACCGGGCGTCTTCGAACCAGCCCACAGGACGGTCACGGATCGATCTGGCCAGGGACATGCCGCAGGAAGAAGAGGGGGTCGAGGGCCCCGGCTGTGATTTCTCACGATCTTGAATTTCGTCGCGACGTCGGATCTCAGGGAAGGCGTGGCGATTGGGAGAGGGAGGAGTGAGGGAAGGGGGGTGTATTTACCTAGGAGGAGAGGAGGGATGTAAGAATGGAGAAGGGAAGGAACGACTCATGGGTACGGATTCTTAAGCCGCTTCTTCTAGCGGAGACGAAGTTGCCAGGCAAGCGCTGTACGATTCCGTGGACTTGAGTGGATGGAAAGCGACGGCCTGCGAATCGCACGACGGGGGTGTCCCGTCGAACGTCTCATCCAGCAGCTCGAAGAGGTCGACGCGTGTCACGCTACGCAAGCCGAGGCAGTGCCTCAGGAACACGTCCTCGCCGTACGTGCTCCACTCGAACCTCAGATCCTCCACGCACGAGTCGAGCCCATCTCCAAAGGCCTGCATCCCCCCTCTAGATACGACCTCGAGGGGCCCGTGAAGCCCGTCCTTGCAGTTGTTCAGGTACAGGCTGTCCTCCGCGCGGAGCCGCTCGTGCTGCAGATGGTGCTCGAGTCGGCTCGCAAGGAAGACGCAGTCGGGATCCACCTCTCACGGGCTGACATCGGACACGCACTTCTGCAGAAACTGTTATGTGGCAACTCATGCGAGCCTCCCATGCCATCTTGCTGGCTCTTGCGAATCGACGCTGGCCGACGAGCATCGACGCTGAGTCGACGCTAATTCGGCGTATTATCTCCGAGTGCACACTAATGCACTCTAAACACGGGGTTTCGAGGACACGCAAAGCCCCCGTGAGTTGCTAACAAACAACCATGTCCGATTACCAGGGCGACTTTCAGGTACAGGTCGAGCGCTGACACTCGTGCCATCAGGAGTGCATCTGATTGACCGCGATGAATCTGTATAAAACCCCAACAAGGGTAATATCTTTTGGCGGCGCTATTGAAGGGCTGGGGTCCCACCAAGAATAAAGGAGTAACTAATTATTTTCCTGCGGCACCCAGAGGAGGATCGAGGGGAGGAGGAGAAGAAGGAAGAGGGGGAGGACGGGGGGAAGAGGGGGAAGAGGTATTCGGACCAGTCCTGCTTTGACGCCGAGTGAAAAGGAGGGACATCAAAACTAAAGAGCTCCTGAGGTTAGGGCACCCAACGCATCGAATAACCCAACTGCAAGCGCAGTGGAGCCGTGGCGAGGACGGAGGACTCGCCAGACCCCTCAAGGAGCACCAGGCCGTGGGGGCTGCTGCTCTGGACTGCTGCCCTGTGCTCTTCGCTGTATACCTCGGGTTTGTGCCCTGCTGGCCCTGGCGTTTGTCCGTGACACATCGGGGATCGCTCGACCGTGAGCGATGGGCCGCTTCCGAATCGTCAGATCGCTCGGAATCGACCGATTCTGGGTCAACGGCGACCTGCAGCGTTGCACGCCAGCGGCGAAGTCGCCTGGCCGCTCTGAATTCCTCCGGATTCTCGTGGAGACCGCGCGCCCAAGGGGGCCTCGGCCTCGAAAGCGGCTCCAAAAGGCCCCGAAGAGAACCGTAATATGATACAGCCCGAATGCGACCAAAGAGGCCTCCCAAGTGCTTCTCGAATGGCCCAGGTGGGCCCCACGACGCCCCCGCGACAGCAGAACACACTGCACATCAACCGTGCGTGCGTGATTACGGGTTCGATCTGTCTCCCCCCCCGTTGGGCCATGGCCCTCCATCCGCAACGCTGCGTGATTTCCCCCCCTCTCTCTCGACCCCCCTGTGTCCTCCCCAGCTTGCCCAGAGCTCCACCTGCGACCACAGCGAGGGGAGGAGGAGGAGGAGGAGGAGGAGGAGGAGGAGGAGGAGGAGGAGGAGGAGGAGGAGGAGGAGAACGAGGAGGAGGAGGAGGAGGAGGAGGAGGAGGAGGACGAGGAGGAGGAGGAGGAGGATGGGGCGCCCGCGCAGCGCCGCCTTGTGAGGGCTCCCGCGCAGCGCCGCCGATGGCGCCCCTCTCGGCACGCCCCTCGCGCGGATGTCGCGCCCCTCGCGGGGACTCCTCCGCCTGCGGCCCCCGCGGGCGCGCCCGCGCGGCGCCGCCGAGCGCACCCGTCGGCACGCCCCTGGCGCGGATATCGCGCCCCTCGCGGAGTGCTCCGCCTGCGGCCCCGGCGAGGCCGCTCGCGCGGCGCCGCCGAGCGCCCCCTTCGGCACACCGCTCGCACGCGTCGTGCCCGCCTTCATGGGGGCTCCCTCCGCGGCCCCAGCGAGGCCGCTCGCCTGGCGCCGCCATGCGGGACGAAGCCAGGACGAAGGGTGCCATCGGATGAGGAAACGTCGAGAATCTCTGAGACCCGGCGGCTCTGGAGGATGTCTCGGGCACCGCGGCCTTCTCAGAGCGTTCGAGAACGCTCCGAGAACGTTCCGGAACGCTCTGGAGCGGATTTATCCTGGTCCTGGCCCTGTCCGAGCCACGTCCACTTCGGCACAACTCTGACGCGGGTCGTGACCCTGCAACTGTGAGGCCCGCACTCCACATCGACCGCTCCGGCGAGGAGCGCGGTGTGCGAGGCGAGAGCGGCTCGCTGCGCCGCAGTAGGAGCTGCATAGGTTTGGAGGCCCTTCGCGAGGAAAAAATGCGCCCGTCTCACATTTTGAGCATCGTTTATCCAACCCCTATCCCCAACGGCGTGGACCTGGGCCCCACTGGCCGACATACTCCCCTAGATGGGGATATAGGCTGTTCCCTTGGGGTTTCGAGGGTTATAGCCCCAACTGGGGTAGTAAAATGGTGGGGGTCTGGCTGGGGGTGGAGATATAACAAACACAGTTCAAGACGACCCCTGGAGACGACCCCTGGAGCCTGAGATTGCGCACGAGGGTTATAGTGTGGCCCCGAAGGCCCCAAGATGCCGCCCAGATCGTCAAGGATGGTCCAACAAGGCCCCACAATCTCTCATGGTCCCCAGAGGCCTCAAGGTAACCCCATCAGTCATGGCACTGCCAGAAAGAACATCAAATCCGTCACCGTACCTGCGGCACGTTTAGGAGTGGAAGAATACCACGGGCTGCCTGGCAGGATTACTGTAGTCTTCTAAGGGACCTCCTCCACCCCGCCAGGTCACGCCCACCTGAGTGCACAACCCCTACTCACGGGGGTCCCTGGGCGGCCAGATCTGTCCTGTGCTTGTGCCACAGCCTCACCAGCGATGCGTCGCATGCGGTCCAATCTGGTGATGCTGTCGCTATCCTTCGGGATGTGGGCCTGCCTCCATCTCTTGAGGCCGGTTGCCCATCCTCCTGTCTCAAACGCCAGACACAGCTCCACTAGATCGACGCATGCCGTATCTGGCATCAGGAGCATCTGCAGGAGCCGCCGTATGGCGCCTGCGGCAGGAGAGCCCCAGTGGATGTCCTCGTGCTCCAATGAAGCCACCAAACGCCCCCAATAGGCCCCAGATGGGCCTCCCAGAGACCCCAAGGAAGCTCCCAGAAGGCCCCAAGAATGATCCAAGATGCTCCCAAGAGTTCTCCGCATTCTTCTCCTCATCCTCCATTTCCCTCCCTCTTTCAACGTGTTCCTCGAAAGGCTTCCGCAAAGGCTGGGGGAGCACATGGTCCAATAGCGTGGCCAAACTTTGCCCACACGTTCGGCCACAAAAGCAAATGCGAAAGGGCAGGGGGCAGCAATGATTCGCCGCAGGCGTCTTCGATAGTCTTGTTGAATCGTTCTTTTCTCTTTCTGTCCTGCCTCGTTATACAATACTTTACTGCGCCTGCAACTGGGCGTTACCAGAACTGGCTTTAGCGGGACCTGGTTTAATGATGTGTACTGGGGGACGCCCTCCCCCCCCGCCCCGTTCCACTAACCGGAACTGCCGGCTACGGCAGACCTGCTTTAGTGACTCTGGCAAATTTAGAGGCTCTGGGGCCCTACTACTAACCGGGTTCCCTTACCTGGGGTCCTGGCTGTGCTATACCCGATGCAGCACCACAAAACGCCACCAAAGGGAGAATTCGAACTCCTGCCCGATGTATGTTGCCCCACAAGTCTCACCAAAATCGGCACCGAAGGCCAAACATATGCCCAAGAGGCCCCGAAACCCGCCTAAACGTCGTCCTGAACAGGCCCCGAAAACAACTCCATCCAGCTCCGACGACTGCCTCGCTGACTTCTGCTGCCGCCGCCGCCGTTGCCTCCTACGCCTTTCGCTCCAGTTACACCACAATCTGTCCGGACGTGGTGCCACGAAACGCTGTGGGTAGCAGAAGCATGCATCCCAGTTTTGGAACGCTCGCGCGCGATAGCACACGTCACTGGCCCCGACCCGCCTTCCCCAACCCTGGGCACGTCACGAGTTGCGATAGCGCCGTTCAGGAATTAACCATTCCTACGCATTCCCAGACGGCGCTGGCGCGACTGGCTTCCTTCCCGCCCCTCCCCCTTCCGCCCACCGGTCCTGCCTGTTATCGCTGGGGGGCGAAACGAATGTTTCAAGATGAAGACGATGAAAACAAACATGCATATGCTTGACAAGACAGATTGATTCCACCCCGCCGACCTTGACCGTCCAGTCGTGCTGCGCGAACAGGCCGTCCTCGAAAATGAGTTTCCAGACGCGCGCGAAGACCTCGGAGTTCAGGGCGGTGCCTGAAGGCAAGCCCTAGCCACGCTGATCAGGGAGCAAAACGATCACCCTTATAACCTGCCCCCCGACAAGCAAAGGCTTTCAGCGAACGCAGTCAAAAAGGAGTCAAGCATAACAGGGCTGTTTAGTAAACGCCCAGGGCCGCTGAGAAACGCCATTTGGGGGGCTCGGGATGGTGTTTCCTCCCTTGGGTGACAGGCCCGGGCCAACCTTTCCTTGGGCAGGTGGGGGGAGGGGGAAAGGGGGGGAATCGCCTCCACACCTGCTCCGTATCAAAAATTCCACCCTGCCACGCCGCCAGACGTGTCAGTGGGCCTGGCTGGGCTTCTCGCCATATGTTTTTGCGTGCGGTAGAGGTACGATGTCCGGAGATTTTGAAGCAGGCCGCATATGCGGATGGCGGGCTGGTCGATTTCAGAAATGCGCGACAGTCGCTGTAGCGCGGCGCGCATTCGCCATAAGAGTTCGCAACGGCTACAAGGGAAATTGACCAACGCGTTTTGACAGCGGGGCTTCCCCTCCCGCGCCGCGCACGTCCGTGATGCCATTTTGCAACAATTGCAAGGGTGGCTGCCAGGACGTTGTCACAATGAGGCTCTCGCCTAGGAGCCACGCGCATTCGGGGAAAAAACTTGCAGCCACTGCAAGGAAAACTGCCAGTGTTCTGTCGCTTCGAAATTCTTCAACTGGGGGAAGAGAACAGATATGTACACATATATTTGTGTATAGATATAAGTATATTACAAATGTACGGGTGGACGGCGGCGTATTTTCAACGTGTGACTCTGATGCGAGACTTCTTCACGTCTGGTGTCCCGCCCAAAAAACTTGTGCATGGGTTGCACATGCTTAGGGCGGTAGGTGTTGAACACTGGGCTTTCGCTGAACACTAGTGGGGTTGCATGATCCTGCCTTTCGGGCTCCCATACAGTGCGCTACGAAAATGCAAGGCAGATCTGTTTGTCGACCCTGGGATATTGTCTGAATTGCAGTCCCATGAGAGCGCTTGGCGTTCAAGAGGGGTGCGTCCTGCAGTGAAGACGTATGTCTGCAGGGTTTTCTGGGGAAGGCGTTGGGACTGGAGGGTGTTCTGCAGCGTCGCTTTATGTATCCTAAACAGCTCTGGTCCCCGCGCGTGGCCGAACGCAGCATGTCCTTCCTCCGCGCCGAGCCGCGCCGCCTAGCGCTGCATCTGGGCGCACACCACCTGCACGAAGGCAGCTGCTTCGTGAGGGTGGAGAGTTCGGCCGAAGAGCGCCCTGCAGGCGCGAAAATTGGTGCACAGCAGACATGGACAATTCTGGTTCCCCCTCCCCCTCCTGCTGCCTACTGACCTCCTCCCCCCCCCCTTATCCCGCGTCTCCTCCACCCGCGCTCCCGCGTGCGCCCGCCTCCTGCGCACGCCCCTCGAAGCCCATGTCCGCTCCGCGGTGTTCACACATGCATGCTATTCACATGCAAGCGCATTGCAGGACTTCCATGTGAAACATGGTGTGCGGCAAGAGCACTTCCCTCACACACAGGCCCAAGACACCTGAGGGAAGCCACGGGACGTGCCGCCAGGAAGGCTAGAGTTGGGCCCACTGTTCCTCCTCCTCCTCCTCCTCCTCGTTCTCCCCCTCCTCCTCGTTCTCCCCCTCCTCCTCTTCTTCCTCCTCCTCCGCCTCCTCCTTTTCCTTTTCCTTTTCCTTTTCCTTTTCCTTTTCCCTTTTCCTCCTCCTCCTCCTCCTCCTCCTCCTCCTCCTCCTCCTCCTCCTCCCCCTCCCCCTCCCCCTCCCCCTCCCCCTCCTCACCTTCATCATCTTCCCCCCCCCCCTCCGCCTGCGCGCGCGCGCTGACGGAAAGAGGAGCAAGACGTGGTTGGAGGCTGGGCGGTAAGGCTTCGGGCTGGCCTCAACAGGCTCGCAGCATAGTCCCAGGCTGGCCTCAACAGGCCCCCCCGAGTGGTCCAGGGCGGCATCGACCACCCTCGCGCCGCCAGCGGCGCCCGTGGGGCCGCTCCGCGGCCCGTGGCCCTGGACTAATCGGGGGGGGGCTGCTGAGGCCAGCCTGGGACCACCCGGGGGAGGCTGTCCGTGCGCAACACGGGGCCCCACCAGAGCCAGAGGCCAAATGCCAAGCGTGCTTTGAAATGCCCGGAGCGCCGTAGGCGCCGCCCTTCTCCACCTCGAGGGGGCCCTCCACGACGTTCGCGACAACCTGGCGGCTCGGATCTCGAGTTAGCAAGATGCGCGCAAGAGACACATGTACCGGCGGGGCGCATCTCTAGTGGCCAACCTAGCCGTGGACAAACCAACTACGAGAGAGGCGGTGCAGAGCTACAGCTTGGCAAGCGTGAACAGACAAGTCTGGTTTTCTTGAGCGATGACGCTAGGGACTCGGATCCTACCGCTTAGTCCTCTTTTTTAGAAAAGGCCAGGCAGGGTGCCCGACGAAATTGCAACCATTGGCCCGAGTCCTCCCAGACGTCAGAAGTTCCCAAATACGTGCCATAGCTATTCAATCAGGCAAGGGAACTCGGGGAAGTGCGAGACTGGACACCAGAGTGAAGGGTCCAACGGTCTTACTATTTTTGCCCTGTCCCTGGGTGCGTGGCGTAGGTGGAGCTCCGCGGACTGGATTGTCGGTAGTGTCTTTGCCGTCGAGGGCGGGCTCGCGACCGACACACCCGTGCAGAGGCCTCCTAGATGGGCTCCGAGCAGATGGGGTCGGAGGATTACACTGCGTCGCCTAAATTATCAGCGGTGCATCGGCGATGCGTCGGCGACGTCGGCGTGGGGAAATTCGGGCTCAACATCGAGCCGCATTGCCGATGCATCGGCGGTGCGGCACAATCCTTCGACCCCAGCTACTCCGACCCTATCTGGGAGGCCTAGAAACTCTTCGTCTCAGATCGGCACCACCACCCCTCCTCGCCAGACCCCCGACGTCGCGATTTTTGTTCATGACGTCGACCTTCAAAGGTCTCGACCCATTCCCCGGGACCGTATTTCATCCTGAGTCGTCTTCCGACGGCCCCGAGGCCCTGTGCGGGCCCCCAGAGGCCGAAAGTAGCGACAACAAAACCAACCGTCGTGATTTTTTCATGACCATGACACGAGGAGGTCTGAGCTCCTCCTGTAGAAGCCTACACCGTGACCCGCCCCGCGACCCACTCCGCGACCCACTCCGCGATACACCCGCGACACACCCGCGACCTTCCCGCCTGTTGGACCGCGCGCCCCGCCCCGCCAGCCAGGCGCCGCGTCACACGCCCGCCGCTCGCCTGGCAACGCCAACGGCCCACCAGCGACCCAATCGCACCGTCTCAAATAATCGGTGCCCCGGGCGGGCTTCTCTCAGACTGGAGAAGGATTAACTATCAATACCGCCACCCTTGCCCTGTTTTCCCCTTTTTGGGCCTCCTGGCAGGCCCTCGTCGCCACGGCTGGGTTCGCCTCGAGATTGTGGTCAGAACGCCCCCAAGGAGAGGTCCGGGGAGTGGCGGTAACGGTGTCTTTTGGCTTCCTTTCTCTGTGCCGCTTTCGTCAGAAGAGGAAAGAGCTGCACACCTATGACTTCTCGGAGGTCCGCGCGGATTTCTTGGATCGGCAACGGGTCCCCCCTGGCGCGTGGGGCGCGCCCTGGGCGGCACCTGTCCAGAAAATCCGCGCGGACCTCCGAGAAACTGCGGTGAACGGTTTCTTATTCGGCGTTTCCACATTTGGCGGCAAGGGGAGGGGGGGGGGTCTGGCTCGGGACCTCTGCTCAGTTCGACTGTGCGCAGCAGTGCGTCCTATGGGGGAGGCTCTACCTGCCTGACACAGGCCCCCATAGCAGCAAAGATCTACTCCATGCGGGGGAAGGGGGGGGGCGCGAGGGCCCGCGCCGATCGGCCAAACAATGAATCAGAAAACTACCACACCCCCGAGAAACAATGTTTACGCAACTGGCTGATCTTCGCTTCGGCGAGCGCGACCCGTTCTCTCGAGCCCGTGGCGCCCCCAACAAGACAGCGCACGGAGAGGCGGCGCGCTGGCCGCATACTTCTCTGCGCCCGATGTCTCCCGAGGGGAGGGGGCCGACGAGCGTTTCCGATCGAGCGCCCCGCCCGCCCCGCCCACCCGCCTCGCTCGAGTTGCTGCATGGAGCAACGCAGTCCAACGGGTCTTGCGCTAGCTCGGGCCTGTCCTCCTACAAGCGGATTCGGGAAGATGTACCGCAACATGCCCAAACATGATCAGAGCAACAATCGGAAAAATCGTGCCCAGACGGCTGCAACCTATTTTCAAATTGTCCGCCTGTAGAGGGGCGGGCCCGACTGAAGTCTTGCGCAAGATGGCGTGGCGACCTTACGAGGAGGCTCCCGCGGGCCGCCAGGCGTGGCACGCCACGTGGGAAACGAGGGCACTCACGCGCGGCCTTGCAAGGGCAGCTCACGCACGCACGTCCGCGCTGTCGAATTGTTTCGTCCTTTCCGGGCAAATCTTTTCTTGAAAATGAAAGCGGCAAGAAAACTGGAACCAAAAACGGCAAACAACGGCGCTTGAAATGGAGCCCGAGCCGAAACCGGCAAGAAAACGACGACGGACCCGGCAACACAACGGCGTCGGAACCAATGAAAAACAGCGAAACGGAACCGCTAACAAAACTGCCCTGTCGTTTCCAGGGCCCACTACAGGCCAGGATGAGCTGCCAGTGTCGGAACGAATCCGAAGCAGCGGCCGATCTCAGCCAAGGAGGTCGCCATAACCCGCCCCCAGAGAAGCGGCAGGTCGACGGACAACAAAATCCCGACGGGGCGGGGTAGCCCCTTGCCGGTAGCGCCGCAGGCGAACCCTCCGCGTAGGAGACCGCGTCTTTAGAAGAAGAAAAAACGCCATAAACACAAACTTTTGGCGCTCGGCGCAGATTTCTTGCATCTGTGTTGGGCCCACCTCCCTGGCGCGCGGAGCGCGCCAGGGGCGGCGCCGGAGGCTTCGGCGCCATAGCCCCAATGGCCTCCTTGCCGGAGATGGCGTGCACCCCCAAATGCAGAGACTCCCCGCTGAACACGTCGTAGCCGCTGCACTGAAAGACGCTGGCACCCTTCGCCACCGCGTTCTCCATGAGGGCAACCTCGTAGCTGCCTGCCATCACCAGGGCAACGCAGTAGAAGTCTATTCGACGTTCAGGGGCTCCGTCGTCCTGGCGGTCAAATGTGGTCGTGGTCGCCTCTTCCGACGTCCTGTTGCGAGCCCTCGCCTCCATGCTTGCATGGCGGACGTTGCACGTCCAGGGCGTTCTCGCTTGATCCTTCACCACGGCGTGCTCGTGGTCATCGTTGGACCCACTCGTTTCGCAAGTTCTCCTGCACTGAGCAAAGCCCTCATCTTTCTCGAAACATGCCGCGTCCCTGTCTGAGCAGCACCCGCTCTCCGTGCATTCCGCGAAGAGCTCGGAGCAGGCCGGCGTGGAAATGGTCCCCTCCGTCTTCTCCTTCGCTCAGCTACATGCAAGAGTGTCCCCAGGAAGGAGTGACTTGTGGTGGGCGGCTTAACGATCGTTGCATGCGTTGCTGAGCGTTTTCTTACTCGGCGTTTCGATGTTGTGCGGAAGGGTGCGGGGAAGGTCTGGCTCCGGACCTCTTCTTAATTCGATTGTTTGCAACCGTGCGTCCTATGGAAGAGACTCCACCTGCTTGAAATAGGCGCCCAAAACAGCCAAGACCGGCTCGATGGAGGGGGGGGAGGGGCGGGGGGCGAGGGCCCGCGCCGATCGGCAAAACAATGAATGAGAAAACGATCACTTTCGACACCAAGGGCCGTGCGTGCTTGGGGTTCCCCCCGCACCGCGCGGGCCCACGCCCCGCGAAGGCCGCGCACCAAAATGTCACCCTGGCGCAAGGCCACTCTCTGCATGTCGGCGATCTTTCTCTTCCTTCTCCTCCTCCGAGGCCACGCCAACTGTAATGTTGGTTAACGTCGATGCTGGGAATCTGATTGTTGCGTCGCCCATCTCGCGCAGAACGAAGCGTAGGAAGTCACGAAACACAGATTCCTACATTTCAAGCACGTGATGGCATCAGACAAAGACGACACGGAGCTCTGTGGGAAACCACGCGCCACGCTTTCCTACAATCGGGTCGGCCACGAGCCGCCCCCGCCCACAATGCCGAAGCCTACACCGCCGTTGCCCACATCGCCGTTGGCGTGTCTGCGGTCCTCCTTCTGCTTCACCTCTCCGCCATCCACCGTCGAATTCGCAGTCGGCCCCGGCACCCCGGAGTTGCTCTGATCCGTTCTGTTCTCACCTCGGGGGACCAGCAACGACATGCAACACTAAACCTTCGGGGGTTAGCACGGGTTCTGATGATCGGTGGATCTGCGCTGGAGCCCCCTGGCGGGCCTCCAGCGCAACCCTTGGCGCGGTCCGCGCGCCAGAGGGGGGGGAGGGGGGGCGCAGCGCCAATCCAAATAAATGAGCGCGGACCTCCGACAGTAGTGTGCATGCCAGGAGGGGGCCGAACGGTCATTCATGGTCCCCGGGCGCGTGGCGGGAGTGAAACTCCGCGGCGCGGAATCTGCCTGTTGTTGGTGCTGCTACAATACTTGTTGTTGTTGAATTCCCATGCGTTTCAAATCATGTTGATGATTTCTCCTCCAGTACCCATGTTTTGTCCCCTGGTTCACACCGTGTGATGTACAAGGGGAAATGAAGGGTCACAAGACTGGCTTGCCAGGCCCCAGATTACAACAACAACAACAGCAAAAACAACAAAAATTACTAGCACGTGGGGACACTCCGTTCTCACCAGTGCCAGGGTTTTCATAGGAGGCGGGCAATACCCCCACTTTGTGGGGGGGCCGGTTCAAGCTCTACCAAATTTCCAAACGACTCTTCGCCACCACCCACACCCAGCTTCCCGCCCTATGACGTTCGGACACTTCACTTCGTGGCATGCGGACGACCGTGGCTACTATTCAGGGCCCCGCGGCCGACGACGACGGCGTGCGCGCGCGAAGAAAAAACGAATGTGTCCCGCATGGTATTATTTGACAGGGATGATGGCCCTGGCAGGTGCGCAACCGTTGTCGCAGAAGTTCGAAAAAGTTGCTCGCAAAAGCCCGTTTGACAGAAATGTTTAAAAAGTGTTGGGTTTCCTACGAATCCGCAAGAGCGCGCGGGATGAGATTTTGACAATTTTTTGTTGAAAAACCATTGGTTTTTTGATGTTTTTATGTTAAAATCGCTGCGAACACTAAGGTTTTGGAAGGATTTCGTCTTGCGCGCGCGAATGTCCACTTTACCTTATTTTTTGCAAGGGATTCTTGAAATTTGATTATATTAGAACAAGAAATGTCATTTTCTATTGTTTTTTGCAAGGGAAAGCGGATTACAACAAAACAACCGGATCCTGTACACACCCTCTTTTCTGAGGCTTCCTCACGAAAATGATGAAAATGTAGCTGCGGCCTAGGCGGCGCAGGGGGGGCGCGCACCAGGGGGCCCAACAATAATTATTCTTTAGAATAAATAATGTTCAACAACAACAACAACAACAACAACAACAACAACAACAACAACAACAACAACAACAACAACAATTACTAGCACGTGGGGACACTCCGTTCTCACCAGTGCCAGGGTTTTCATACGACGCCCGCCAATACCCCCACTTTGTGGGGGGGCCGGTTCAAGCTCTACCACATTTCCAAACGACTCTTCGCCACCACCCACACCCAGCTTCCCGCCCTATGACGTTCGGACACTTCACTTCGTGGCCTGCGGACGACCGTGGCTACTACACTGGCGCATGGGTACAGTGACTTGTTGTGGTAACATTTTCTGGACGCTAGCTTAGTATACGACTTTTCGAGGACCTACGGTGCGATTCGTATGATTTTATGTTGCGCGGTGCTAAAATTCCTAAGAAACCCAATGGTTTTTGAAGATTTCGGCGTGCGCGCGCGAAGAAAAAACGAATGTGTCCCGCATGGTATTATTTGACAGGGATGATGGCCCTGGCAGGTGCGCAACCGTTGTCGCAGAAGTTCGAAAAAGTTGCTCGCAAAAGCCCGTTTGACAGAAATGTTTAAAAAGTGTTGGGTTTCCTACGAATCCGCAAGAGCGCGCGGGATGAGATTTTGACAATTTTTTTGTTGAAAAACCATTGGTTTTTTGATGTTTTTATGTTAAAATCGCTGCGAACACTAAGGTTTTGGAAGGATTTCGTCTTGCGCGCGCGAATGTCCACTTTACCTTATTTTTTGCAAGGGATTCTTGAAATTTGATTATATTAGAACAAGAAATGTCATTTTCTATTGTTTTTTGCAAGGGAAAGCGGATTACAACAAAACAACCGGATCCTGTACACACCCTCTTTTCTGAGGCTTCCTCACGAAAGTGATGAAAATGTAGCTGCGGCCTAGGCGGCGCAGGGGGGGCGCGCACCAGGGGGCCCAACAATAATTATTCTTTAGAATCAATAATGTTCAACAACAACAACAACAACAACAACAACAACAACAACAACAACGACAACACCACCAACAACAACAACAACAACAAATACAACCAAAACATCAACAAGGTACGAACATCACCCGCGAGCCCGAGGCTCCTTCCTCCCAAGGTATGAACCCTGCCCGCTGACCCAGTGGACACAATTCTTTGCCCCCCCACCCAGAGGTCAAAGAACCCAGCCAGAAAAAACACTCTTCGGCATTCCTTCGGGGTCCTTGAGGCAACCAGTGCACTCCAGGGAACTGGAACCATGTGCACGCTAGCGCGCCTCCGATTCCCTAGGAATCCCTAGGACTCCCCCGGAATCCTGTGACTCCTTAGGGATCTCCCGGAAACCGTAAGAATCCTGTAGGAATCCAAGGGCTCCCAAATAATCCAAAAGGAACCCTACGAATCCTCAAAATTCCTAGGAATCCCTAGGAATCCCCCGGAATCCTATGACTCCGCAGGAATTCCCCGGGATCCGTAGGAATCCTGCAAGAATCCAAGGGCTCCCAAGGAATCCATAGGGAACCTTACGAATCCTCAAAGTTTTAAGGAATCCGCAGGAATCCATAAGGAATCCCAAGAACCCATACGGATCCCAAGGGGATCTAAGGAATCTTAAGAATCCGAAGGAATCCATAGGAATCCATAATAATCCCGATGGAATCATCGGAATCCTCAAAGAGCCCCTAGAGGATCAGAGGAATCCAAGAAATCCCTCGGGAATCATAAGAATTCTTGAGGAATCCTAAGGGATCCATGCGAATTCTCTGGGAATCCTAGGAATTCATCGGGATCCCGAGAGGATCCAGAAATCCTATGACTCCTGAGGAATCCATAGGAATCCAAAGGAACCCCTCGGGAATCCTAGGAATCACAAGGGACCCATAGGAATCATAGAAATCCATAGGGATCCTAAGGATCCTAGCGGATCCATAGAAATCCCCAGGGACTCCTAGGAACCCATTGGAATCCTTAAGGCATCCGAGGGAATCCATCGGAATCCATAGGAACCCCAAGGGAATTAAAGGAATCGTGAAAATCCTAAGGGACGAATCCTAAAAAATACCAGGAATCCAAACAATCCTCTGGAATCTTAGGAATCCTACGGGATCCTGGGAATCCGGGGGAATCCGGGGGAATCCAAAAGAATCCTAGGAACCCCGACGAAACCCTTACGAAACCCTAGGGATCCCTGCCGAATCCGATGAATGTTGTGAATGCTACCGGAAGCCTGGGAGTCCCTCAGGATCCGGAGGAATCCTGCAGGAACCCCAGGATGCTTTATGGATTCATAGGAATCTCTCGGGAATCCCTGAGGGATCCTAGGAATTCTAAAGATCCTTAGGGAAACCTCAGAATCCTTATGGAACCCTCAGGGAAACCTATGGAATCCTAAGAATCGCTAGGGGATCCTGGGAATCCTTTAGGAACCCTAGGAATCCGGAGAGAATCCTAGGAATCCCTCAGGAATCCTTTAAATTCTTAAAGGAATCTTGTAGATTCCTTGAATTCCCTGCGGAATCCTAGCGAATCCGTGGGGAATCGTATAAATCCTCAGGGAACCCTGGGAATCATTGGGAAATCATGAAAAAAAACCCAAGGAAGCCTTATGGATTCTTATGATCGTTACGGATCCTTAGGACACCTTGCGGAATCCTTAGGACTCCCTGGAGAAACCTGGGTGATAATCACGAAGTCCGTCCTAGTAGTGGTGGTCGTCGTAGAAGTAGCGGTAAACATAATCATAATGGTAGACGTACTAGCAGTAGTAGTAGTAGTAGTAGTAGTAGTAGTAGTAGCAGTAGTAGTAGTAGTAGTAGTAGTAGTAGTAGTAATAGTGGTAATCGTAATATGAATTATACGAGTAATGGAAACAAAACTAGTAAGAATAATAGTAGCATTAGTAATATTAGTAGTAATAATAATACTACTAGTAGGTGGTAGCAGTAGCAGGAGTCGTAGTAGTAGTAGTAGTACTACTACTCCTACCAAGTTTAGGGTGAACATTACTAATAGTAGGAGTCGGAACAGTATCAGTAGTCGCAGCAGCAGTAGCAGTAGTAGTAGTAGCAGTAGTAGTAGTAGTAGTAGTAGTAGTAGTAGTAGTAGTCGATATAGTAGTAGTAGTAGTAGTAGTAGGAGGAGTAGTAGTAGTAGTAGTGATAGTAGTAGTAGCAGGAGTAGTAGTAGTAGTAGTAGCAGTTGTACAAGTATATATACTATAACTATTACTGCTAATCCTACTAGTAATAGCCATCGAACTCTTTGTACTGGTAGCAGCGGTGCTAGTAGTGGTGACAGCATCAGTAGCCGTAGTAGTAGTAGTAGTAGTAGTAGTAATAGTAGTAGTAATAATAATAGTAGTCGTAGTCGTAGTCGTAGTAGTGGGAGTAGTAGTAGTAGTCGTAGTAGTAGTCGTCGTAGTAGTAGTAGTAGTAGTAGTAGTAGTTCTTGTAATAATAGACGTAGTACTGGTAGTCGTAGTTGTAGTAGTAGTAGTAGTAGTAGTAGTCGTAGTAGTAGTAGTAGTAGTAGTAGTAGTAGTAGTAGTAGTAGTAGTAGTAGTAACAGCAGTAGTAGTAGTAGTAGTAGTAGTAGTAGTAGTAGTAACCGTTCGACTAGTAGAATAGCACCAGTACTAGTAGTACCATTGGTCGTGGTCGTAGTGGCAGTCGTAGTAGTAGTAGTAGTCGTAGTAGTAGTAGTAGTAGTAGTAGTAGCAGTACTAGTAGCGAAAGTAGTAGTAGTAGTAGTAGTAGTAGTAGTAGTAGTAGTAGTAGTGGTAGTAGTGGTAGTACT